GGCACATAACAACAACAACAACACCTCAGACGAGTCTCACGATAAAAGTTTATAAAATATTACAGAACCTCGACAAGAAAACACTGATAACACAATTACAAAATTGGCAAAAGACAGGGAAAGACTTTTTACAGAGGAAGATATTTGGATGGCCAATGGGCACATGAAGAGATGTTCAAAATCTCTGGAAATAAGAGAGATGCATATCAAAATCACATCACACCCCAGTAAAAGTCGCAACGTTTAACAGGATAGCAAGCAATAAATGTTGTACAGGATATGAAGAGATTGTGAGTTTTGTACATTATTGGTGGGACTGTAAAATGGTACAACCACTCTGGAAAAGAGTTTGGCATTTCCTCAAAAAGCTGAACATAGAAATTCCCTGTGACCCAGCTATTCCATTGTTAGGAATATACCCCAAGAAAAACAACTGAGACAAAAATTGAGAATTTGTACACTTATGTTCCTAGCAGTGTTATTCACAACAGCAAGAAAACAGAAAATGTCCAAATGTCATAAACAAACAAATGCCTTGAGAAATTGTGGTACACTCACAGAATGGAATACTATGCAGCACTCAGGAGCAATGATGTAGAAAACTACCATGCAACATGGAAGAGGCTAGAGACCCATATCGTGAGTGAACTAACTCAGTCTCATAACGACAAATACTGCATTAAGTCCATTACTGTAAAAAATAGGAAGATAACTATTATAAAATCTAAAGGAGAAAAGGGATAAGGAAAGGGAGGAAAAATAGGAAATCACAGGGTCATGGAGCTTGGTGAGCAGAGGATGGGGGTGAAGGAATTAGGAGAGATCCAGTGAAGATCTGAAAAAATGAGGTGACAGTGGGCATAGATCAATGGTGATTGGCTATATAAAACACAATGTAAATGAAGAAAAAGGTGTATGAATGAAATACAAAGGTATTTGAATGAAAGGTATATGAATGAAATGCAAAGTAAACAAATTTTTTATCCAAACCAATATAAAATGAAAAGAATCAAAAATAAAAAACAAACAACAACAAAACCATAGATGCTTTCAAATTAATTACAAGTCAAACTGATTGTGTATCAGAGTGGAACTATGCTCAAGAAAGTTTGAGCTTTTTCTCAATAAGGTTTCAAATGGCTGATTTCTTTAGAAATAATTCACCAGTCATTTCCTATCAGGCAATTCTGGGAAGACCCAGACTCCTATATGTTTGGTTAACACCAAATGTGTTAAAAGTTTGTCCTACCCAGGGAGTCAAATCTCCTGTGCCTCTAACATTTTATTTGGTGAAAATGAGTTACTCAAAAGTACAAAGAATATCTTAAGGATAGTAATATGACTTTTTGTTCAGGTTTAGTAAGTAAGAGATTCAATTTGGGTATTTCTTAGAGGAAATTTCATCAGTTTAAATTCCATTGTTCTCGTATTTAGCAATTGACTTCTTTTCTGACCTTAAAGTATTAGTTTGACTCTTGTGTAAATTATAGTTTTCTTCTTCTTCCTCTTTCCAACACTCCTTTCTCATCTCAGCTTGTTACAGGTTATGAAGATTTGCTTCTGCCAAACTCCTCATTGTTGGAGAATGGAAGGTTAACACATTTTTTTTTTTTGAGTACTGGGGGCACTTTATTCAGTGAAACAATTAAGTCACAAAAAAGACAAAACCTTTATATAACCATTCTTATAAAAAATAGGAGATGGGGGGCCTGTTAGGGAGATCTGCAAAAAGGATGGGTGGATATATAGATGGACTGGAAGGTTAACACATTTTAATCGAAGTCTTTCAATTACTTACAAAAGAGAGAGGGAGGGGGTTCACATACTCTACCAGCATGTTTACAAATCTAGCATGGCTGGGCCCTAGTTTGGGTAACTTATTGGGGTTTTTGTTTGTTTTGTAAATTAATCTGTTAGATGTGGGGCTCATAAATACTGAAAACAAAATACCTCAGTTTTTTTCACAGAAATCAGTTAAGGCCACAAATCACCTTAAGTTCACACTTGAGGGCCTATGCTGCTCATTCTTCTTAAATAAGTGTTTAAGAGTTTATGACACATTTTTTTGTGTCCTGTTTGAAATAAAATCTTTAAAGATTTGCTATAAAAGTATGTGCTTGTTGTCTTTCACAGACATGGACACACACTCCATATGCCATGAGATCTCAGTTTACCTAGCATTTATTAGACTGGTTTCTTGTTGTACTTGTCCTATTGTCATTTGGAGCAAAAAATGCCCAAGTGGGCATTAACATGCATGACAATAAAATTTATTCCAATATCCCCCTCAGCCACACACCAGTCATTGCTAAGAGAAAGAGTGGCTAGCACTTCCCTACTATCCTCTGCTAAAGTGTTTTATTAGTTGCACCCAATTAAAGTCAGTGTGGCCAGGGTACAGATATGAGTCTCTTCAGTACACATAAATTGCAATATAGCTTTAATTTTTTTAATAGCATCACTGTCCACACAGAGTAAATAAACATTATTATTGTATACCGTAAAGGTGGAACCGGCCCATAGCTGACCCTCCAGTGGGCTATCAGAGGAAATTAATTGCATGGGAGGAGATTGCCCATCCTTCTCCTATGGAGCAGCCTTGAACCAACCTCGTACCTTCAGGATTGAAGCTTCTTGCCACTAAAGTACCAGAGCTCCCAAATAAACACTAAGTAAGTGAATATAGTAATACCTGCCATTGTTTTTACTCATTTCATCTATAAAGAAATTCAAGTATTAAGACGTTTAATCTGACAAAGACTTTTGCAAAAAAGTAAGATGCAGAGTTCTGAAGATTTTGACCTGATTTTTCCCAAAATGAAATAACACGTGTGTGTATCTGAAATGATTCTAGTTCTATTGCATAAATGAGATAAAAGGAATATACGTAAGGATGCACATGACACTATTCACAAGTCTTACCGTGTCTCCTGGCTGAGGACGCATCACAGACACACGATCATAACCTTTCCTTAACAGGACCCACAAGGCGTCAAGTTTTCCCTGAAATAAAACACATGCACCAAGGTTACATATTAAACTAGGCTAGTGGCTGGCACAAGTGTGTAGAACCCATTGTTGCTGCAGTCTTGTGAGCAACACTGCATCAGTAAAATGACGTGATAAGAGAAGTGACCTGTTCCTGGAATTCATAACATGAGCTGCAAGAAGAAAGCAGAAGAGAAGACACATACCAAGTACCTTGGACGTTGACGAAAAGAATGCCCTGAGAAGCTCTTCTAAGATCTTGGCCTATTTTGGTATCATGTGTCTGGGCATATTCTCTCACCTCAAGTTAATATTTTCCACTTTTGCTGGAGATTTTTTGTGCATTTGTTGCTCAGGGTTTATAAATGATAACAATGGTGATAAAGTCAGGAAAGTCACTGATAAGAAGAGGAAGACCATTTAAAGCCTTTTGGGATGTAGATTCTTGGCCATCTTCCAGGTTCACTCACCAACTTCAGATTGGTTAGGAACCACTGCTTTCCCACCCATGAGCTATGTCTCAATAAAGTGACTGATATCCAAATCAAAGACCTTTCAAGTTGTAGATATTTGATCAAAACTGAGAAATGTGAATATATGGGTGCTAAGGATTTTACAGTGAGTGGTAATTAACACCTATAACCAGTTGCCACAAGTCCCTCCTGGTTCATGACAACCCCATTGTGGCCAGAGTACAACTTTATTCCATAGGGTTTTCAATGGCGGATTTTTTGAAATTAGTCACCAGGCTCTTTTTCTAAGGTACCCCTGGGTGTGAGGGTGAATGTCTCCTAGAAGAGTAAGTACACCTTTTCAGATGTTGCAAATCATATGTCTGTGGGAGTGAGAACTTATTTGGTTGTGCATATCAACTTACAGCACTTGTCATGCTAATAACTTAAACCCATTACAAATGAAAAGCAATGAGATGGCTGCAAGATGATAGTCTAGCTGTTGAAGATGTGTATCAAGTAATGAAATTTAAAACTACATGCATTGCAAGTTGTTGCTGTCAACAAATTTACTGCTTGCTGCTACTGAGTTATAAGTGACTCATAGCTGACACTACAGCAGGTTGCTGGAGTTTCAAATGACTCTGCAGAACAGAGAAAACAACCCCAAAAGGGCTTCTAAGACTAATCTTTATGGAAGCAGGCTGCCTGATCTTTTTTTCCACAAATAGTTGGTGGGATTGAACCTGAGTGCTTAGCCCCTATACCATCAAAGACTGTTAAGGAGAAACTTAAATGTACCACTTAGTCATTTAGATGTTTCTTTGTGGCTTTTGCTTTTGAGCAAAATGTAGTACTTAAAGACAAAGTGCCTAGAGCCTGAGTATGCAAGTCCAAGTTTTGAGTCTGCCCCTCACTGGCTCAGAAGTGTTAGATTATTTCATATCATCAGGTCTTATTTTATCATCCTTAAAATGGAGATGATAATAATGCTTGCCTAAAGACTTATACATAAAGTATAAAAGTCTTGGTTAAGTATTTTGCTTGTAATCAAAAGGTTTGAATCATGGTTAAAAAAAAAGGCTGGCAATCTGTTCCTTTAAAGATTACAGTCTAGAAAACTATGGTGGCAGTTTTACTCTGTCCTATAGAATGCTCCTTAGAGGTAAGGTTGGTGAAATTTTGTCTCACATACTTTGGGTATATTGTCAGGGAGGGTCAGTTCTTGGAAAAAGACATGATGCTGTGAAAGATGGAGAGTCAAAGAATGAGAGGAAGACTTTCAACAAAAGAGATTGACACAGTGACAATGGGCTTGAGCAAATCAGAAATGGTGAGGAGGTGCAGGTTATAGGGTCATTGTGAGTTGCAGTCCACGTTCAGGCATCTAACATGTCATTGTGAGTCAGAATTTTCTTCAAGGCACATACCATCGACACCTTGATTCTAAGAGAGATGTTTTGTAGGCATAAAAGCAGACACGGCATGAAAAAAAAAAAGACACAATCATTTCTTCAAACCTGCTTCTTCTTTTGTATACTTTGCCTAGGTTCATCCTTAAACCCAAGAAGTTAAGACTTGGTGTACCCTCAGTTTTCTGAGTTTTCTCCCCAACACATGATCCTGGAGAAGCTACACAATCTATATCTTTTTTTTGTCTGGTGGCTTTTAATGTAAATGCTTAAACAAAATGTTTATAAGGAGTTAGGATGACATTAAAATATAACTGTCTCAAGACTTTAGCTTTCACTACTCTTGATGCTGAGTTTACTACTGCCCTTGGTAACGGGGTTGTTGATGACATCTGGGCCACGGCAATCATGATACATTTACATCACATGGTACGGGAGCACTGGGTTCATTTATTCGACTCTGTAGGATTTTTTGTTGGATGTTATCCAGACAAAAGGATGAAACAGTTAACATCTTCAGAAACAAGGATATTTTAAAGAGAATGGAGAGCCAGTGAAGACATTATCTGGAAGTAAATGCTGTGGTTCAATTATAAAATATTCACATTTTAAAAATTTTGAGTAAAGAAATGATGTTTATTATTTTTTAAAAAAAGATATATAACTCTTTCTCTAAAATCAAGAAGGCTCTTGGAACCTTGATTTTCTAAATTAGTTGGTTGTTGTTGTGTACCATTGATTCAGAACTGACCCATAGATGACCCTCCAGTGGGTTTTCAGAGGCAGTTAATTGCACAGGAGGAGACTGCCCATCCTTCTCCCTCAGAGCAGATGGTGGCCTTGAACTGCATGCCTTTGGGATTGCAGTGTAGCTTCTTGCCACTAGGCCACCAGAGCTCCTGAGAGGCCTAAAATTTAAATGCAGAAGCCAAGAGTAAATGATACAAACAAATGTATAAACAAACAACAACATAGGGTAGGTATAGTGGTGAAGTTGCTGCACTGGGTGATGATGACACCAACTATAATAACCCCTGTTATTGTGCTCTTTCTCCTATGACATGGATCTACTCAGTGCTACCATCACAGGGCCTAGGATCTCCTCTGACAGTGTCAGGAGGTGTGGTCTGTAGCAGTCTATCATATAAAAGCCACAGGATGTAATTCTGGTCTTCATTCCCAGACTAAACCTGGAACTGTTCCTGTGAAGTTAAAAGAGAACCTTCTCCACAAATCCAGAAACACTACAATGGGGAATAACAAATTACTTTCTCTCAAATGACCTTGATGCATGAATATAAAATGAGTAATCTACTGATTCCAGACTCCCAAACATATCTTAACAATCCACAAAGGCAGACAAACTAGAAGTTGTGTGTAACTCTAACTTTTCTTTCTTTATAAATAATGGAACAAGGTAAGAGTACTTATGCAGCAGCCATTTAAACATCCTGCTACAAGGGTGTTTGAGACTGTTTCCTCTTCTTTCAACACCTCTGCCCTTTTCTATGTTTTCTTACCCCCTCATCCTCTACTTAGGTAGTTGGAAGTTTGTTAGAGCTTGATAATTTTAAGGGTAGTTCATTTGATTTATAGGGCAACTATAGACTGACATCTGAGTTTTTTCACTGAAGTATATGGTAAATAAATGGACCAATATTTCATGTCAAATTAAATACATGAACAAAACTGTAAACTCCGTCCTTCCTATATGCTAATTTTTAAAAAATTTTATTTCCCTTTCAGGAAAAAATTAGAACCATTCTAAAAAGTAGTTGGAGAGGGACAATTTTGCTCAATAAGAGAAGTACATTTGACAACATTTTAACACTAATATGTTTTACTAGGCCTCACCCACGTTGATTTAGGACAGTCTCAACTGAGTGCTGCTTGCCTAGATGGCCAAGGATGGTAGGATGGCCTGACAGGGAGGGGATCTCCTGCATGCTGCAAACACTGCAGACAGAGCCTGCCCACTCAGCTTGGCTGTCTTACAGAGTGGTCTGCGGGCATTCTCGGCTCTGGTTTTTGTCTTTCAGCTGTCATTTCTTGTCCTTTTCAGTCACATGGAGGAGCTACTAGAGAAGGAGGTAAATGTTCTCTGAATGTTGCAAGCCTTTCAACAAACTTGAAAACAATTTTCCTTTTCCTATCTGATGGCCATTCACCGGAGCGTTACTTAACTGTGTGAACATGGCCAATTCTGATGTAACCATAAGGACTCAAATTCAATGCTAAACTCACCAGGACAAAATCTACTCTGACTCATGGTGATCTTGGAAGACAACAGAATTGCCACAATGGGTTTAGGGTACTTGAACCCAGGGGCTGAACTGAGCAATGGGACACTCATGAGCTTGGGACAGAGGAGGGGAATGTAGTCAATGTGCTTAGTGGCTTAAATGAGCTGGAAGAGTCATGGAGAGTAAGTAGCTTCATGGTGGATACTTCTGCTTAATGAGTTCTTACAGGGCTCTCAGCAAATGAGCTTCCTGCTCCATGCCCCTCCCCTCCCCTCCTCCTCTTTCCTTTCCTCTTCCCTTCTCTTCTTTTCCTCCCCTTTCCCCTTTCCCCCTTCCCTTCCCTTCCCTTCCCTTCCCTTCCCTTCCTCCCTTCCCTGTCGTCTCTTCCCTTTCCCCTCTCAAACTGAATGGAGACAACATGTTTAATTATAGACTTGATTCTATACACTTGCACTGCAGAAATATGAATCTTCTAGGACCTCCCGAAAGTTTTCGATGTGGGTGTTTTCTTCCATTTTCCAGTTTGACTACCAGTACTAATTGCTATGGAACTGGCTCTAATGCCAGTCTCCTGTGTGTCAGAGGAGAACTGATGGGGAAAGTGGAAGCTTTATGAGATCTAGCATGTTTTTGGTGGCATTTGGTTACATTCTGAGTTGTTGAAGTTGGAGATAAGGCTGGAACTTATATTTTTTTTTTTGTTTTCTCATTGATTCTGACACTCTATCAGGCTTGAGAACCTCTGTATACTTAATATCTGGTACTGCCTGATACATAGCTGCTAAACAAATACTCAATGAATTGATACTAATCCCAAGTAGGAATTGAAAATGTCAGGTTTTAAAATATATGTCTATATCTCTATTTATTTATTAAAACTCAGTTCCAAACCATCCATAAATAAAATAGTAACATATTCTTAAGCAAAAATTGGATTCTGCAATTAGAATTAATGTCCTTTTAAATGTCTAAGATTGCAGAAATAAAAACCTAGCTATGACTGAAATACTGTATTATTCACAGGGTATAAGATCCTGAGGGGTGGGGGACAGAGGCAGAGGAGAGAGAAGCCAACCAAAACATCAAGCGCACAGAACAGAAATCTAGATTCTTCATCTTTGAGACTCCACTAGGCTCCTTCCTGTCTGTGCATGCAGGCAAGCCACTACACGCTCCACATTAGAAAATAATTAGCTAGTCAGGCTCCATTTTGCTCACATCTTTCCAGAGTTCAACCCATAGCCCCAGGACAGCTTATCTTAAGAAAGAATCTTAGTGCTTTAAACACCATACACCCAAATAGAAATACACTGCAGTTAACAGAAACATATGCTAGCTCAGCTAAGAAAACTACTAGTAAAACTACTTGACTGAATTAGAAAGTATTTATTTCTATATCAAAGCCTAAATGTACCTCTTAAGTTAACATGTAACTCAAAGATCCAGTGTGGAAAGCAATGTATATGAACTTTGTAAGTAAGTACGTAAGTAAGAAGGCCTACACATATTGTAATTGAGATTTCATGGATCAGGGAACTCATACTCCTGCTCAGGCATCTTGACACTTGTGTTCTTTACGTTCTTTGTATACTGCCAGTATAAAAGAATAATGATAATAATAATATATAAATATTTTTATTGAAAATATATGTGCATGTATGTTCTTGTGAGTGAGGTGGGTCTATATTTAAGATTTTGGAGTTGGTCAGATTCTGGTTGCAGCATGGAACTGGAGACAGAATCCTGAGCTGGAACCCTGGATTTTAGAATTAGACATTGTTGTTGTTGTTTATTGTGTACTTGTAGAGTCGGAACTGACCCATAGTTGACCCTCTAGTGGATTTTCAGAGGCAGTCAACCGCACAGGAGGAGATTGTCCATCTCTCTCCCTCAGAGTATCTGGTAGCATCAAACCGTGTTGTGTGTCTTTGGGATTGTAGTGCAGCTTCTTCCTAATAGGCCACCAGAGTTTAGACATAGCAAGGATTATACATGGGAGAAGGATTGGCAATCTCCTCCTGTGCCTCTGAAAACCCACCAGAGGGGCAGCTACAGGTGAGTTCTAATTGGTCAGTATAAACAAAAACAACAAAAAGGATTATATTCCAACTGTTTCCTCCTGTATAAAATGAATTAGCATGCATAAATTTGTCTAGAATCTTTTTTAGCACTCTTTGACAGCATAGTGCAGATGCTTATGGAACAGCCAAAGAGCAAGAGGTTGGATGAACCATAAATTTAAAGACAACTGTACCCAAGGGAAATAGAAGTGAATGGCATCTTATAAGATAAAGCTTTCAATAAGAAAAGGCTTTAAACTAAAGAGGAATGGAAGGAAGAGTGATGGTAGGGAAGACAGAATTGCTAAAAGCTGGGAAAAGTGAACCTGGATTCAAGGCCACCATAATGCTCCTTGATTCCTCATAATTCTGTGTATACTTACATAGAGGAATGGTGCTTATGTTATGGTAAGAGGAACAAAAGCATCAAGGAAATTCTGCTACTCTTCTGAGTAGAATTGTTTTCTAAACAAAGTTAGGAGATCAGGGAAATTTATAATGATCCTCTGGGGTTACAGTCCAAGTCACTTGTTAGCACAACTCTGTCATGGTAATTTTAAAAGCCTAATTCCAACTTCAATAACAGAAAATGAGAAAGAGTTTGTACATTCTAGTCCATGATTTTATAATTGTAACCCCTATGATTAGCTTGATTTTCACTGATATGTTTTATCACATCAAAAAATCATACTCAGTTTTTGATTAGGAATGATGATGAGGTTTTAAGGGAAAAGGAGACAAACCTTGATTGGAGAGTACCACTTCCGGGGAGAAGAAGGCCTACGCATATTGTTATTGAGATTTCGAGGTTCAGGGAATTCATACTCCTGCTCAGGCATCTTGACTCTTGCATTCTTTGCTTTTTCCAGCTTAGCACCTTCTTCAGTGGAACCCTTTTCTCCCCAACGAACCTAAAATAAGTAATTAAACAAAATGACAAAATATTATCTCTAACTTGTGGTACAAATGCAACCAGAATGCTTCTGGTTCATGAGACTTCATCTCACAAGCTTCATACACATTTTCAGGAGGAGCCTGCCACTGAAGAATGACATCAAGGTTTGAAAAGTAGATTTGTGTTGTTGTTATTATATATCATAGAGTCTAAATCAATTCAAACTGATACTGTAGGGGGTTATCAGAGGCAATAAATCACTTGAAAGGAAATAAAAGCAAAGGATTATAAAACAAGAGAAAGCTTCACTATCTCTTTGCTGCTCTAGATTCCTTTTATTTCTCTCTCCTGCTGTATTACCCTAGCAAGTATTTTTAATACAATACTGACTAGGAGTGGTGACAGTGAGTATCCTTGTCTGGTCTCTGGGTGTAAAGAAAATGCTTTAGTCTTTCTCCATTGAGAATGATGATGGCTCTTTGTTTTGTGTATATATTTTTTGCTATGTTGAGGAAATTTCCTTCTATTCCTATTTTTTCTGTGTGTTTTAATCGGGAAGGAGTATTAGATTTTGTCAAATGCCTTTTCTGCATTAATTGCTAGGATTATGTGGCTCTTATTATTTGATTTGTTAATGCATTGAATTATATTGATTGTTTTCTTATGTCAAACCATCCTTGCATAACTTTTATGAATCCTACTTGGTCATGGTGAATTATTTATTTATTTTTTTTTTAATGCTGTTGGATTCTATTGTTTAGAATTTTGTTAAGGATTTTTGCATCTGTATTTATGAGATATTAGTCTGTAGTTTTCTTTTTTTTGTAATATCTTTGCCTGGTTTTGGTATTAGGGTTGTGTTTCTTTCATAGAATGACTCTGGGAATGTTCATTCTTGTTTCTATTTTTTGAAATAATTTAAGCAGAAGTGGTGATAGATCTCTGAATGTTTGGTACAATTTAGGCATGAAGCCATCTAGTCTAGGACTTTTTTAGTGAGTAAGCAATTTTATGACCTGCTCAATTTCTTCTTTTGTGATGGGTTTGTTCCAGTGTCCTACATCTATCCATGTCAATATGGGTAGGACATGAGTTTAAAAAAATTTGTTTCGTTTTCTTCATCTTTTCAAGTTTATCCAAATACAGTTTTTCATAATATTTCAATATTATCTATTTAATTTCATTTGTTTCTGTTGTGATGTCACCTCTTTCATTTCTTATTTGAATTATCTGTATCTTCTCTTTTTTCCTTTTGTCAAGTTTGCCAACAGTTTACCAATTTTATTGACTCTTTTGAATAAAATAGCTACAGATCTTGTTAATGGTTTTAATTGTTTTTCTGGTTTCCATCTCATTGATTTCAGCTCTTGATGTTACAATTTCCTTTCTTCGAGAAGGTTTAGAGTTATATTGCTGTTCTTTTAGTGTTTGATGCAGGTGTTGAGTTATAACATTAATTTTGATTCCTTCTGTATGTGTGTGCCTATTGCTATGAACTTCCCCTTGAGGACTGCATTAGCTGCATTCCAAGGATTGGGAATGTTGCATTTTCATTTTCATTTATTTCAAATAATTTTTTTAATTTCATTTCTTATCTTTTCTTTAACCCAATCATTTTCTAGCAGGATGTTATTAAGCTTCCACATTTCTTAAGCGAAATCCTCATTTGATTGATTTCCAGTTTTAGGGCATTGGGATCTGAGAAAATATTTTTGTATTATTTCAATGTGTCTGAATTTGTTGAGGCTTGCTTTCTGCCCTAATATATGATCAATTCTGGAGAATGTACCATGTTCACTTGAGAAGAAAATGAATTGAGTTTTAGTTTGGCACAGGATCCTGAATACATTAACTAAGTCAAGCTGGCTGATGGTATAGTTTAGATCTTCTGCACCTTTGTTAAATTTCTTGTGAGTTGACCTATCTTTTGGTGAGAGTGCTAGGTGCTATCCATTTTTGTCTTCAATTCTGTTAACTATTGTTTTATGTATTTTGCAGGTCTATCATTTGGTGCATAAATACTGACCAAGTTTATGTCTTCTTGACTTTAATCATTATATAGTGTCCTTCCTTTTCTCTCATGGTGGTTTTCATTCTGAAATCTATTTTATCAGAGATTAGTATTGCTACTCCTGCTTTGTTGCGGATGCCATTTGCTTGGTATATTTTTTCCAGCCTTTATTTTGAGTCTTCTTCTTCTCAGAGTCAGCCACAGTTTGTTATGATCCACACAGTCAAATGCCATTGCATAGTCAATGAAACACAGATAGACATTCCTCTGGTATTCTCTGCTTTCAGCTAAGATCCATCTAACATCAGCTACAATATCCCTAGTACCATGACTCCTTCTAAACCCAGCCTGGACTTCTGCTAGTTTTCTGCTGATGTGCTGTTCCAGTCGTTTTTGGATAATCTTCAGTAAAATCTTGCTTGCATGTGAAATCAGTGAGATTATTCTATAGTTTCCACACTCTGTTGGGTCACCTTTCTTTGGGATAGGAACAAATATAGATCTCTTCTAGTCATAACAAACTGTGGCTGACTCTGAGAAGAATGGGAATCCCAGAACACTTGATCGTGCTAATGCAAAACCTATACTTGGACCAGGAGGCAGTCATCAGAACAGAGCAAGGGAACACTGCATGGTTCAAAATTGGGAAGGGCGTATGCCAGAGATGCATCCTATCTCCATATCTTTTCAACCTATATGCAGAACAGATTATCCAGGAGGCTGAGCTCTATGAGGAGAAATGTGGGGTCAAGATTGGTGGACAATTTATCATCAATCTGCATTATGCAGATGACACAACCCTGCTTGCTGAAAATGAAGAGGACCTGAAGCACCTGCTGCAGAAGGTCAAGGACTGCAGCCTCCAATATGGATAGAGGCTCAATGTCAAGAAGACAAAGAGTCTCATCACTGGACCAATTGGCAGCATCAGGATGGATGGTGAAGAGATTGAGATTGTACACAGCTTTAGTTTGCTTGGCTCCATAGTCAACAGTCTTTGCACGAGCAGCCAGGAAATTAAAAGGCGCATTGCCATGGGAAAGTCTGCTGTTAGGGACCTCTCCAAAGTACTGAAGAGCAATGGTGTCTCTCTGGAGACTAAGGTGTGTATGATACAGGCCATGGTCTTTGCAGTCACTTGTTATACATCAGAGAGTTGGACAATGACCAAGGAGGATAGAAGGAGAATTGATGCCTTTGAGCTGTGGTGCTGGAGAAGAGTATTGAGAATACCATGGACTGCTAGGAAAACAAACAGATTTGTCCTGGAAAGGGTTAAACCAGGTGGCTCCTTGGAGGCAAGGATTCTGAGGCTCCATCTAACATCCTTTGGACATGTTGTGAGGAGAGACCGGTCCGTGGAGAAGGACATCATGCTTAGGAGGGTGGAGGGACAGTGCTGGAGGGGAAGGCCCTCTATGAGGTGGACTGATTCAGTGACTGGGATAATTGGGATGGGAGTGTCAGAGACAGTGCGATTGGCACAGGACAGAGCAGAGTTTGGGGCTGTTGTACACAGGGTCATTATGAGTCACAAGCGACTGGACGGCACATAGCAACAACAACAACAATTTTGAGTCTGTCTTTGTTTCTTAGATGGGCTTTATTTTTTCTCCATTCTATTACTCTTTCTTCTTAATTGATGCATTTAGGGCACTCACATTTAAGTGAGGTTATTGACAAGCCAAGTTTTATCATTGCCATTTTGCTATATTTCTATATCTGTTTTTTCTGGTTCATATGGTCCATTCAGTTTTCTTTGGTGTTTCTGTGAAGAACTTTCATTAATTTTTTTTTTTAATTTTGTTCTTATTTTCACAAATTCCTTAAGTTTCTTTTTTTCTCCAATGACCTGACTTCTTTATATGTATTGGACAGTTTTGCTGGGTACAAGATCCTTGGCTGCCAGCTTTTTCTTTCAACTTTCTATATGTATCCCATTGTCTTCCAGCTTGCATGGTTTCTGCTCCGAAGTCAGAACTTAACCTTATTGGTTACCCTTTATTAGTGAGTCTTTGTTTTCCTTGTGCTTTTAGTATTCTACCCTTGTGGTTTAATTTGGCAATTTGACTATGATATATTTTGATGTTTTTCTTTTTTTGGGTCTAGTATCTTTGGTGTTTTCTCTGTTTTTCATAATACCTGGGAAGTTTTTTTCTAGCACTTCTTCTACAATTTTCTCAGTGGTTTCCTTGTCTCTCTTGTGTTCTGGAATTCCAATCATAAGCATGTTGTTTCTTTTGATGTCATCCCACATGATTCTAATGCTTTATTCATTTTATTTATGTCTCATCTCTGATTTTTCTTCTGTGATGTTTGTCCTGTATTTAAGGATTCAGTCCATGGTCTTTCCAATCACTTGCTATGCATCTGAGAGATGTAAGATAACAGGAGAATAGGGATGACAGAAGAAGAATTGATACCTTTCAGCTGTGGTGTTTGAGAAGAGCACTGAACATCCCATCGACTGCCAAAAGAACAAATAAATATGTCTTGGAGTGCTCTTTGGAGGCAAGGGTGATGAGGCTTCACCTCACATACCTTGGGGATATATATTGCTAGGAGAGGCTATTCCTTGGAAAGTGACATGATGCTTGAAGAGTGGAGGGTGGGTCGGTGAGGGAGAAGAAAACCCTCAACCAGATGGACTGACATGGTGATTGCCTTAGTGGGCTCTAGTGTATTCAGAAGGGTGAAGAGGTGATGAGGTGTGAAGTGTGAAGGGGATGAGGTACAGATCTGCTGTTAATAGGATCACTCCAAGTAGTACTTGACTTGATGGTACCTAAAAACATTTGAACTGAGGCTTTTGTCTTCCTCTTCACTGACTCTCTGTTCGATCTCTTCTTTTCTACTTTTTTTGTCCCTGTCTCTGGAGTATTCACTTTTTCTTAATGGCTCCCATTGTTTTTTCCAACATTGACACCTTCTTCTGTAGCCGTTCAAATGACTCCACATCAACATATTTCTTCCTGTTTTCTGTGTCTGGGTTATTTATTACATCTGCTTTTTAAAGGAAAAGGGTTATTTTGTTTTTTTCATGATGTTTGTGACAGCCCCCTGCTTTCCTGACATTATATGAATCTTTTCTTGGTAGATGCTAGGCTATTGTAAGTATATAATGTACCAGAGAAGGGCAATATTTTGTTAAGGACCTGTATATCAGTGTTCCCCTTTTTGGCCTGAAGAGTTGTGAGTGTTGTTCTCTGAAAACTCTGCCTGGTCCATACCTGTTCCCTTCTGGCCCAAGCCTTCTTCGCACATTGCATTCAGGAAGATTCAAGGACAGAGTACCCCAGGTCCCTGCTCTGCACCAGTCAGGTTCACTCTCAGGTGGTGGGGAATTGTGGGACTCGTGGTGACATGGAAATAATCCTCACTAAGGTCCAGGGTAATTCTTTTAGCATTTATCACAAATCATGAAATATACAGTGCTCAATGCTCTTGGGTTTTGAGGAGCAGAGGATAGGGTAGACACTGATAAAGGAAAGGGGCTTGCTAAAGGGTCGATAATAGGGGATGACCAAGTAAATGGACATTTAGGGGAGGTGCTGTTCAGGTGAGCACATGTAAAAGTCCTATGGAACCATGTAAGAACTTTGGATCTTACTATAGTGAGAGAAACCACAGGGATGTGGCATTCTTTGTCATAGTATATGAGGCACAGGACTTTACAGTTAAAAAGCTGTGCCTCCCATCTTCCCATTTCCCCCCATAGGTTATCCCTCCACTAGGCCTCAAATACGAGTTTCAGGTTCCTTTAATTCCTATCAGTAAGTAGTCTTTAAGTAATACTTAAAGTATGTGCTTTAAGCTCTCATCTTACCTCCATCCTTTTAATGCCCCCAACGCCACGCCCCCCATAATAAGAGGCATCTACTGTAGGCCACTTTTTCTTAGGCAGACCATCATCATCTTCTTCCTAAAGAGAGAGGGAACCATGTGACTTTTTTGTTGATGTGTGAAGAGGCAAGACAGTATCATATCGTATCATATCATACCGTATTGAGCTGGATGACTTTCTAGGGCTATCACATAGGGTCCAAATGAATTGGAATTGACCTAACAACAACTCTTTTCATTGGCTCTCATCTAATTCCATCAACATGCTGATGAACAGGATTTCCACCTCCAGCCCTGACTTTGCTGAACAACAACTTCTGACTTATTGTCAACATCTACTTTTTGGAGATTAACAGTTTTCTCATTGCACCAATACTGTGGTGTGGCAAGAAGTCCTAATATTCTCTGACCCAAACCTCTCTAGTCGTCTTCACTGCCTGGCTTTGAATCATTCTTTAACTCCATGAAAGTAGTCGCTATCTCTGCTTTCTCTAACTCTGTCTCAATATTTTTTTCAACAACACAATTAAAAAATGAGTCTCAATTTGCCAGCAAGTTCTGTTGACTCTAATTCTAAATATTCTAATTCTACTGACTTTTATACACTTCCACTACCTTCTGTCTCCAAGCACCCAAAGCCTTCTCCCAGCCTCTCTGCAATAAAGATTACACTCCTACAAGACATTCTCAGAAGTAAGTCAGAATAAAGCCCAAATTAGACTTTGTCCCTCACCTTGCCACTCCCTTGTCTCTTCCCCCTCACTCCTCGAGTGCCAACTTCCTTCCCTTACCTGTTGTTCATGTACTTTAAGTACTGTCTTGCTTCAAAGCCTGTTCATAAGCTATTACTCCTTCAAGAATATTTCTCCTTGATCTTCTTATGCCTGGTCCCTTATCTCTCCTTGGACAAGCCTTTGATATCTTTCTGAAGCAGTCTCAGTCTCACCATCAAGTCAAGTATGTTTGCTTATTTTACTTAGGGTATTTATGATTTGTTCAAGGGATCCCTGGTAGTTCAATAATTAAGTGCTTAGCTGCTAACTGAAAGTGAGATGGTATGAATTCACCAGGTAATCTTTGGGAAGAAGATACAGAAGTCTGCTTCTGTAAAATTATGGCTTCAGAAACCCTTTATTGATAGCCCTGTTCTGTCTTTTAGAGGCACTATGAGTCAGAGTCAACCCTACAGGAGTAGAGTGACATTGGACACTCCCTCTCCTCCCACAACACTGTGGAATTTTAGTTTCATAGAAGTTTTTAAAATTATTAGTATTTTTATCATTCATATACATTGTTTCATTCATGTGTGTTGTTTTCCCTACAGTCCCTCATTTAAATTATATTTTGTTCATTTATATTGTTGGAATTCTTTTCCCTTCCCTTATAATCATCCCACTAAATACTTTCATGAATGTCTGTAGAGCTAACTACTTCATGCCTCATGTCCTAATATCTCCGTTTTAGATAGACAATAGCTGATTTTCCCTACAAATCAGTACTCTGAGTAAACAGGCATGTCCCTATTGCGGAAAGATCCTCTGTTCAACTTGGCAACTTTGAAACTCTGCATTCATAAGCAAAGTCCAGTCCTGTGCAAGCTATCTGGTTGCAATAATCAACCCTGATTCACAGTATGGATCAACTTCTCTTCTTCTGGTTGATTTCTAGTCAACTCATCCCCAGCCATCTGTGGCTAGATTCAAATGGGCATCAGTTACAAGCCTAGAGGTCCACAGTTCTCCCTGTGCTCCTGACCTGTTGGTCTCCTCACTCAGCCCTAGCACCCACATGGGATCAAGACAAGTCAACAGGCCAGGGGTATTCAGGACTTCTTGCTCCTTAAGCCAACAACCTTCCCCTACTCATTCATGCATCTGTGCATGCTAGGTGGGCAGTGCTGAAAGATGTCCAACCTCAAGATCAGCCTGCTTCTCCATCATTGTATTCCTCCCACTTCCACTCCTGTGGATCCATGTTATCGCTATGAGTGAGCAACTTCAAGTCTTGGAGGCAAAGTCTGATGTGGACCAAATTTACCCTGCCTCAGAAGCTGAACAGCTTGTTTCAGTCATAAAAAACAGTTTCTTCCTTTCACTTCTTCTCTCCTTTCCTATTTGACCTTCTTTTAAATGTGAATCTCTTTGATAAAAAGTCCAATGTGGGTTAACAAATCCGTTCAAATGCAAATCTTTTCAGAGTACTGGGTGGAAATCAATCTTTTCCTTTTACCAAACCTCAACCTCCCTTATCAGGTTCTACTTTTAACAAGCTTATATCCAGGGAAGATCTTCCCTTTTAGTACTCCAAATTAAGAAAGGCAGGATTACACTTTGTAAATCTACAATACCCAGTGTTCATTTATAGCATATATTCTTTTCCTCCTCCATTTTCTTTTTAAAATTGATTTACACATATAACCACCCTTGCACACTGTCCTTTATTCATGTGCACTGTGCCCCACACAATCAGAATGATTCTAAGAAGGATAGCGCGGATGGAGGATTGTGTAGAATGCAATGTACATGAATGAAATATAAGGTAGATAAACTAGTGCATGAAAACATAACAAAACAAAAAAAATGGTAGGAGGAGAGTGAGGGGTGGTAAAGGGAGCAGAGAGTTGATCACTAGAAGTTGGTGAGGAGGGGAGACAGAGTCAGGGAAGATCAGTGGTGTTTGGGGGAGACAGTGTGTCATAGAAGCCTTTCTTCATTGTCTATTTATCATTATTCCTGGCTTCTAGAAAAGCCCCTAGTACATGGTATCACTTATTATAGCTGAGTTTGAACCAACTCGTAGCTTACCCTTAGTGGGTTTCTAAGGCTATAAATTGTATGGGAAGAGATTACTCATTTTTCATAGGTGGATTTGGACTAGAGAGCTGTGGGCTACAGATATGGCAATAGAGATCTTTTCTAGGGCATGGTATATAGCCAACTTATTTGTTGAAAAATACATTAATTAAATGGGATGGTTCAAATGAAATAGGGTTTGTGACTTAATATTGGAAATCAGTTAGCTATTATTATTTATTCTTTCAGATGAAAGAAGAAACATGAGGAACTTACAACTTTATAGACAGTTGTTGTTAACTGCAGTCAAGTCCACTGTAACTCAATGAACGAAGACTCTGAGCCCTGCCCTCTCCTGTGCCATCTTCATCAACTCTGCTGTACTTGAGTCCATTGTTAAAGTCAATGAGTCAATCTAACTCATTGAGGATATTTCTGTCTTTCTCTGACTCTTCACTTTTCCCAGCATGATGTCATTTTCCAAGGACTAGACCCTTCTTAACAAAATGTCCAAATCATATTAGATGAAGTTTTGCTACCCTTGCTATTCTGCCCAAAGCATTCTTAAGTATTGCAATTCAAGGCTATAGTTAGTGTTACATGGATGTTGGCTGAAAGCAGAGAGTACCAGTATCTGTATTTTATGATTATGCAAAGGCATTAGACTGTATGGATCACAACAAACTGTGGCTAATTCTGAGAAGAATGGGAATTCCAGGACACTTGATTGTGCTTATGTGAAACTTATACTTGGATCAGGAGGCAGTTGTCAGAACAGAGCAAGGGAATAATGCATGGTTCAAAATTGGGAAAGATGTAAGCCAGGGATGTGTCCTATCTCCATACATTTTCAATCTATATGTAGAACAGATAATCTAGGAGGCTGGGCTCTAAGAGGAGGAATATGGCATCAGGATTGGAAGAAGATTCAACAATCTGCATTATGCAAATAACACAAACTTGCTTGCTGAAATTGAGGAGGGCTTGAGGCATTTGCTACAAAAGGCCAAGGACTACAGCCTTAAATATGGATCGAAGCTCAAAATCAAGAAAGCAAAGATTCTCACCACTGGGCCAACTGGCAGCACCATGAGAGATTGAGATTGTTAACCGCTTAAGTTTGCTTGACTCCACAATCAACACCCTAGGTAGCAGCAGCCAGAAAAACAAAAGACAAATTGCATTGGGAAAGTCTGCTGTCAGGGACCACTCCAGAGTACTGAAGAGCAATAAAAAAAGTTGTCAATCTAGAGATTAAGGTGCTTCTGATCCAGACCATGGTCTTCACAATTACTTGCTATGTACCAGAAAGCTGGGCAATTTTTAGGGATTATCAAAGGAGAACTGATGCCTTTGAGCTGTGGTGCTGGAGAAGAGTATTGAATATACCATTGACTGACTGCTAGGACATCAAACAGGATTGTCTGGAGAAGGTGAAACCAGGCTGCTCCTTGGAGGCAAGAATTTTGAGGCTTCATCTAACATACTTTGGGCTTGTTGCAAGGAGGGACCAGTCCTTGGAGAGGGACATCATGCTTGGGAAGGTGGAGGGACAGCGCAAGAGAGGAAGACCCTCGATGAGATGGATTGACTCAGTGACTGGGGTAATTGTAAGTGTCAGAGACAACAAGGTTGACACAGAATAGAAGAGGGATCAGAGCTGTTGTACAGAGAGTCTCTATTAGTTGCAAATGACTCAATGGCATATAACAACAACAACAACAACAGCAGTTTCATGAAGGAAAACGGCAGTGTTTAAGGTTGAGGCATTGTATCTCTGTCTCCCATACTGTCCTTCAAGGTTTAGCAGGAAGAAAAAAGACCTCTGGTTAAAAGCTGGTCACAGAAACCCCTAGAGTGACCTTTCTTTTAGGGAAATGACTTGATGATCTCTATGGTTACTAGAGAACACGATATAGGCCCAATTGTTCTGCATAATAAAGTATCAGCAATTGAAAGTTTATGTGTATTTGGTAAAAGATTAACAGAATAGAGTGAAAATTAAGAGCAAATGGCCAGGGTCCATATATAAGCGTGGTCATGGAAGACTTTCAGTGGTGGGAAAGATAGGATTGACATTCTACAAAGTTGCTTGTTGGCTTCACTGTACTGTGGCCACCTCTCCCATACGTTCAGATTATCAGTGAAACCACTACACAGAGGGTCTGTATTAGAATTACCTTGAGGGAGTGCAAGACCAGGGTGATGTCGAATATAAAGAAGGAAAAAAATGTATACAAAGGAAAGATCTTGCAGAAGAAGCAAGAATTCAGTAGGATCTGAGAAT